AGACAGACTTTTCTTTTGGCTCTGCCAGGTCACTAGAAATGACTTGGAGACTTATTATTAATTATGAAAGCTTGGCAGATAGCCTAGGCTTGTTTCTAACTAGCTCTTATATCTTAAACAAACCCATTTCTATTCATCTGTGTGAATCATGGCGTTGCCTGAGCTCCGTTTCTGGTCTCCCTCCATCTGCTGGTGACTCCTTATGTCTCTGCCCTTCTTCTCTCCCGTGCTGTTTCTGCCCTGAAAATCCTGCCAAGCTAGTGTAAAGAAATAGTCCATAACAGCATATGAGAAATAAAAAGATCAAGTCAGACTTTCAGTGTTGACCTCTGGCTTTCATGTAGATGCATGTCTATGCGAACTCCCACCCTCCCCAATATGCACATATATACATGACCACACAACACACACACACACCGATATACACATATACAGACACAGAGACACAAACACACACACACACACACACACACACACACACACACACACACACACACACTTCCTCATAGAAAGGAAGTAAGGCTGCTTCTCAGAGTAAAGGTCTGCACTCTTTTTCTGGAGAAGCCTGACACCTAGTGGAAAGAAGTTGTATGGGGCCTATACAGGCTATAAATTCTGCATAAAGTGTCTAGAGAAGAATTTACTATATTTCTAATCTCAAATTAATATTTGCAGTTCTAATAAGGAATAAATTGAACATAATTAGCTGTTCATACTTATATTGAACATTTGATCTGTTGGACAATTGAAAATGAATATAATAGAAGGAAAAATCTCACATCCCCTCCAAAGTTGCTTTCTAGATGAATCTGCATCTGCTTTCTGGAATTTGTATATGTAATTTTACAAGACATGTTTTTAATTTCTTGGCTTCTTTTATGAGTGTGTAATTTTGTATGTAAATGCACAGGTATGGAGGTCAGAGGTCAATGTCAAATGTCTTCCTTGTTCACTGTACATACTAGTTGTTAGAAGAAACTCTGCTAAACCTGAAGTTCAGCATTTTGCCTGGACTGGATTGACAAGAAGCCCCAGAGCCCTTTCTATCTCCACTGCACCTGAACTAGAGTACAGGAATGACCACTGCGCAGCTTTTAAAAGTGAGTTCTGGGGATCAAACGTTCCTTCATGTTTGCGCAGCAAGAACTTTACCGACGAGCCACCCCCAAATCTCGTATTTCACTTCTTTAACTTGGTGTAATCATTTCGAAGAGAGTCCAATCTCTGCACATCGGTGATTTGCTCCTTTAATTGCCAAGTAGTGTTCTATTGCCTGGGTACAGCTCGTAGAGTCATTGATGTACTTAAAGGGGAATCATAGATCCAAAAGCAAGCTGTTTCAGCTTCTAAGTGAAACACGTGCAAGTCTGGAGCCAGTAGGTTCTCTAGAATAGCAAGATCCAAGATTATGATTGATATTTGACAGTTCCATATGGTGTGTTTGGCCATATTTGCCTTCTCTAGTTTTCCCAGGTCCCCCCTTCCTTACTCTCAACTTTGTGTTCTTTATTTTTAACCCCTTCAAGACCAATCTGTGCTGCCCAAATGTGCTTGGATGCTTGGCCTTCCACTAGAGCCTTCAGTCTTAAAGAACATTGTCTTTTCCTTCCCAGTAGCGAACAGTTGTGAGCTGCTCCACAGGGCTTGGGTTTTATGTTCAAGCCCCATCTACATTCTGGAATTTATTCTGCTCGGACTTACACATGTCTGTGAATGCTGTCACAGCCACTGTGAATTCATATGTGCAATGCCCTGAAGACGGGTTCCTTTGTACATCCTCTGTCCCTGCTCTTGTGCTCATCTGCCCCTCTTTCAAAATGACCCCAGAGCCACGGGAAGTACAATATTTATTTTCCCTTTAGGGATGAGTGTTTTTTTTTTTTTTTTTTTTTTTTTTTTTTTTTTAGCCTCTTAATCTCTGTGTTAATCGCCAACCGTAGATGGAATCTTTTCAGTTTAGGAGGGAGAGACATATTGTACCTATGTGTATAACAGTCATTGAGGGTCAGTTTAACTCTATCCATTAAACAGCACAATAGTAGGAGATTATCCCCTAGGATTTATGAGCTCTTTAGTTATAGATTCTCACCCTACTAATGGTGCCAGATATGTATTTCGTCCTATGGAGAGGGACTGCAAGTCCAATCAGAGAGTGGTTGGTTCCTCCCAGGGATTTTTCGCTACTATTGCACAAATGGGCAGGCATTACCAGGCCAGCTGTTATAGCTGGCAAGAGTCAAAGCTGAGTATGGTTGGTGATTACTTTTCTCTTCCAGTAGGTGGCGCAGCACCTGTCAGCTCTGAGAGCTACCCAGTGCAGATAAAATTTCCAGATCGATAGCAGCTTGATTCCTCTGTGATCTACGAATGGAGTATGTGATGTCTTCAGCAGTGGGCTCTTACTGTCTGCCCTGAGACACGATTCCTGGGAAGAGCAACTGAAGAGCAAAGAACAGATACTACCAAAGTCGAAGTCTGTGAACCAATGAGACTTTGGGACTTCTTTACAGATATGTGGGTGAGGTGATCCTTATATGACTCAAAGACAGCTGGGCCAGTGACATCCTACTCCAGCATGGCTGACAGTGTCTGAAGGCTGATATCTCAAGTGTAGTGCCCAACATGCGAGCAAGTCAAGTGCTGGAGTGTATCCTTCCCTGCTGCTTCCTGGCAGTTCAAACTGGCCTTTGCCCATTCTAGGCAATGTGACTGGTCTGCTTCTTCCAGGTTTCTTAGTTCGAGTCTCTACTAAGAAAATGTGCTTGTCTGAGGGTCTTCTTTGAAGCATGGCTTGTCTGAGAGTGACCTCAGAACTCTTTACTGATGCCATATTCTTGGGAATGGGTAGTGCTGGCGAATCCTGTCAGTTTCAGGGAGTTCCTGAAGTTATTTTGAGTTGTTAATTTCCTTCCTTATGGAGCTTCCCTGCAGGATGGGGTGTTTCCTTGTAACCCCTTACCAATATTTGCTATAGTAATCCCAATTCTATAAAAAACCTTATTCATTCCCCAAAGTAGACATCAGGACAATCATCGCTTGGTCTGTTATGGGTTCACTTTGGGACTAAGTAGGCTTGTGTGTGTTGTGCCTCCCTAGCAAAGCCCTACACAACAGGAAATTTAGTTGAGAAGAACAAGGGTCACTACGGAAGGAGACGGAGGCAGGAGAGAAAAATAACAGTAATGATATTTGAGGAAGCCATACGGAATCATATTTTAGGTAAAATTAAGTATAACTAACATATGTATGTATATGTTTATTCATAAACGTATAGTTTTATATACAAACATGTACAGTTTAAATGAATTTGTACCACTAGAACTGATAATGTTATCTCCTAGATCCATAGACTATTTAAAAATTACCAAAGTACCATATGTGAGAAATGGCTGTTTGAATTGTTGGCCAGAGGAGTCCAAGAGACTCCCAAAACAATATAAACTATTGCTCGGCCTTCATTGCCTTCCAGAGGATGACAGAAAGGCATTATTGCTGAAAAGAAATGCAATGTGGACACAGGACACACACAGTCCAAGCTGGATCTGATCTAAGAGCCTCCCTGGGGACTAGCTTTCAAAGTCCCAGAAGGTACTATGCAAGCTTACAAGGGAGAGAAGCAACCAACATTCCTACAAAGCCTACAGAAGATGGGACTGATAGAAACCTACAGCCAGACATTACACATGAGTGTGTACACACACACACACACACACACACACACACACCTTGGAAGACTCTGACCTAAATTGGATGTCTCCATCAAATTTCTTCACTGGAGCTCAGGGAACTCTAGGGAAGTGGAAATGCGAAGAGTGTAAGAGCTAGATGGGATGGACGGAAGGCACTAAGAAAAAAGACCCTCTACTCAACATCAGCAAGGCTCATCTGAACTCACAGGCTGAAAGAAAGAGCAAGCGCAGGCCTGCAGGGCTCTGTACCAGGTCCTTTGCATATGTACTATAATTCCAGTTTAGTGTTTGTATGGGATTCCTGAGTGTGTGGACAAGTGGGTCTCTGATTCTTGTGCCTTTTCCCGGGTTCTTTTACTTTCATTGGTTTGTTTGATCCGATTTGTGATGGCTTTTGTTTTATCTTGTCATGTTTTATTATTATCAGAAGTGTGTTCTTATCTAAGGGATAAAGAAAGGGAGTGGATCTGGATGGGAGGGGAGAGGGAGAGGGAGAAGGAAAGGGAGACGGAAGGGGAGGAACTTGGAGGAGGAGAGGGAAGGAAAACCATAGTCAGGATATATTTTTTAGAAAAGAATGGATTTTCAATAAAACGGAAGCATTTTTTAAATGTTACATGTCTTCTTTACTAAAAAATAAAATTCATAGTTGCACCATCACATCCACAAAAATTGGTTGCTCCCGTGGGCTTGAAGGCAAGTCCTCATTATTCCCTCGTTTATTTCTTTTCCAAGGTGAGATCAATAACTGCTACCCATGTCACAAATATAGACCTCCAAACCTCTCTTAACTCTGGGTTTATATCAACATGCTAGCCCTCCCCTGCTCATCCGTAGCCTCCCTCTGACTATTTCCTGTTTGAGCAGCTTTTCCCCCAGTGATCTATATTCTGTCTCCTAAAAGAAGAGATGGGTATTTACTCCTTAACCTCAGAACATATGAAGACACATCACAGGTGATATACCAGTTACCAGAAAGAGCCAGAGTGGCATGGTGGCACATGCCTTTAATCTCCCTCTCTGGAGACAGAGATCACAGAGACAGAAATCTCTGTGAGCCTGAGCCTGGTCTTCATCTCTAGTTCCAGGCCAGCCAGAGCTACACAGTGAGACACTGCCAAGAAAGGAATAAAGCAACATGAACCCTCATCAGAAAAACACTGTCAGGGATGAATGCAGCTGAAGGAGGAGAGTCAATGTCAGCACCAGAACATGTCAAACATGATCCACAACAGAGAACCAGAAAGTGTCCAATGCAATCAGAGACCAAGCATGCGGCTGAAACAAGAGTCTAACAACGGTTTATCTCACCTCCTCCTGAATGCTCATCCGGAGATGTTTTTCTTCATTTACTTCCTGGCTTGGAGGCCACATTTAGGGTCTGTCACATTCTTTATTGTCAGGCTAGAAATGGTGTAAAGACGTTGCCTTTGAACATCTGGGATTTCACTTTCTCACTGTAATTCTTTAAAAATTACTCATAATCAGTCCAGTTACCAAGACGATTTACCAAGGTGAAAATGAAGAGATTAATGGAAAACACAGAGAACAGACCTGCTTGTTTCCCATAATTAGTTTCAGCTGTCAGCTTGACAGAGGCGGGCTCAAATTATCAAGAGAACCTCAATTACTCAGTTTCTCAGTTTGAGAAACTGCCTTGGTTGGGTTGGCATGTGGGGATGGCCATGTCGACATTCTCTTGATTGGTGGTTGCTGCGGAAGGGCCAGCCCACTGTGGATGGTCCCATCTTAAGCAGCTCATCCTGAATTGTACAAGACACCTGGTTTAGCAGTTGGAGGAGGAAGCCAGCCAGCCAGCCAGCGGCTTTTCATTGAATTCCTACTTGGGAATCTTTTCTGATTTCTTTCAGTGGTTGGTTGTGACCTGGCAGTGTAAGCCTAACAAAACCTTTCCTCCCCAAGTTGTTTTAGGCCATCGTGTTTACAAAAGCAGCAGAAAGGAAACAAGAACACCACGGGAGTGAATAAAATCTGAAAGGGAAGATGACTATCTGCCTAAAACAAGGCTTCTGAACAGGTTTTTTTTTTTTTTTTCTTTTTCTCCTAATTATAGGAAATTATTTTTAAATTTATTTTATACTCCAACTGCAGTTTCCCTGTCTTCTCTCCCATGGGTCCTTCCCCCACCTCCTCTCTTGCTCCCCTCCCACCTCTCCATTTCTGATCAGAAAAGGGCAGGCCTCTCTCATATGTCGACAAAACACGGCATATCAAGCTGCGGTAAAACTAAGCACCTCCCCTTATACTAATGCTGGGCAAGGGCAACCCACTATGAGGAAGAGGGACCGGAAAGCCAGCCAAAGAATCAGAGATAACTCCTGCTCCCACCATTAGGAGTCCCACAATAAGTTCAAGGTACACAACGGCCTCATATATGTAGAGGGCCTAGGTCAGTCCCATGCGGGCTCCCTTATTTTGTAGGTTCAGACTCTTTGAGCCCAGGTTAGTTGATTCTGTGGATTTCCCTGTGTTGTCCTTTACCTGGCTGGTTTCTACCATTCTTTCTCCATTTCTTCAGCAGGATTCTCTGTCTCAGGCTAATGATTGGCTGCGGATCTCTGCATCTGTTCCCATCAGTTGCTGGATGAAGCCTCTCTGTGGACGGGTCATGCTAGGCACCAATCTATGTGCATAGCAGAAGACCATTAGGCATCCTTACATTGACATTTTTTTTTTCTCCAATTGTGTTTGGTTGTATTCAAGGTCTCTGGGCCATTTAGCCACAGGGTCTTTCATTCTAGGCAGTTCAGGGGTGGGCACAGGTTTCAGACTGGACCAATCATTGGTTGGCCACTCCCTCAATCTCTGTGCTACCCTTACCCCATCACATCCCATAGGCAAGATAGACTGTAGGTCAAATGTTATGTGTCTGTGTTGGTGTCCTAATCCCTCCTCTGGAAATCTTGCCTGGTCACAGGACATGACCCCTTTGGGCTATATATTCATTAGTGCTAGGAATTTTAGCTGAGGTCATCCTTGTAGATTGCCTTTTCAATGAATAAAGGTGAGCTAGAGTGGTGGGAAGGATGGCAAAATGGACTGGTGTGCACATGGCAGCAGTGACAGGTCTGTGGTGGATGGAGAAAGCCTGTGAAACCTCAACCCTACACCAATAACTACAGGCAACTAAGGAATGCAGAAAGTAGGCAAAATAGTCTTCCCCAGAGAAAAGCACACCAATTGCCTATCCAATATCAAATGGTTGGAACATGTCAAAGTGGATCTGGGTCTAAACCACTGCCGTGTCCCACACCTCTAGAATGACATGCACTGGGAGCATCTGAATCTAAATCACTGCAGCATTCCACGTCTCTAGAATGACAGTAATGGAACATATTTGTAGTGCAATGGCAAATCTCCACTCTTTAAGGTTATTAATAACTTTCTGGGCTAAATGAATACATTGAAATAAATGAATGATTCGTGAACGGGATTCACAATCTCTCCCTGTCACCTCTGCAGCCTCCTAATCTTTATGCTTCAATCTTGTGGGAAGCCTATTGCTTCCAGGAAGAAGATGCTGAGACATATGTATGACAAGACAGGAATCATAGGGAAAACCAACAGATGTAATAAAGAGAGTCTGCAAAGATGAAGAAAGAAGACAGGCAGGAGGAGTCACAGAAAATGACTCACCTTTCGAGACGAGTGGGGAAGCGCAGAGGGTGCTTAGACAACTGGAGGATACTTCCAGAAGAATGTATACATAATTTTCTTATTGTCCAGGAGATGGGCACGAAGAGTGCAATTAGATTTATTGTTACTGTTATTAATTTATTTGCTGGACTATGTCAACATATGTAGTGTGGGTGACATTTTTACATGGCTTTTGATGGAAGAACTCAGGTGGGTTTTACTTAACCGGCACTAGGAGAACAGACATCAAGAGAAAGGGGGCAGAAATACTAACGAAGGAAAAAAACCAAGACAACCTCTGGCTTCAAATGCACAAAATCACATAACTTTACAACTTTCTATTAATTCCTTCACTTTGGGGCAGGAGCTTTCATGTTTCATTATCAGATTCACAAGGGTTATGAAACTGCTACAAATATCAGTTAGCAAACACCAAAACTTCAGTTATTTCTGTTGGAGATTCCAGGCTGGTAGAAAATTGTATTGTTAGACATTGCATACTAGATCTGAAGACTGTGTTATTAATTATTTAAATATGTAAACTTTTCTGTTTGTGCATACATAATTTAATCATATTAAAAGAGGAGTATCCATTATTGTTGTTGTATTAAAAGTTTCAGGGTTTATTATTAAGAATGAAATAAAATGTAGATGGACTATAACAAAATCAATGCTAAAATAAATTAGGGAATGAAAGAAAATTTGAAGAAAAGTTAGTAATGCAAGTGGCAATTTAACACAAAAGATAGACTAATTTTCCATTCAAGTGTTAAAGAGAGTGTTGAACAAGTATCTTTCTAAAAATCAATTTCACTTCTTGAAAGACAAAATAAAATGCCTCAGATCTCCTCAGAAATGAAACTTTGTTCTTGATCAAAATGTAGCTTTGCCTACTTGACATTTACCAGAAGCAGTTGCTTCTCTACTTGATCCTTTCGCTTTGCAAATATAGATTACTATACACTGTATCCCTTTTTCTTCCATCTTTGATATGCTACACAATGATTTTAGGGAATCTTAAAAATAAGGTTTTGTAAACATTTTCTTCAAAACCTTCCGTGTCTGCTCACTGCCTTTCAGATGATGAGATGTCTTCCATGTGCCTGTTTGTTGGGTCTGCATTCCAAAATATGGTGCAAGAGTGTGTACATGGCTTAATTGCCACAGAGTGTGGCAGTTGCGTGATATGCTACCATGACAAAGAGGCAGGAAGTAGGGTGTGTATGTGGAGTGGTCTTCCTGTCCTCCTCATGATTAGATAAGTGTAGTGTTAGGGAGGGGTGTTAGGTCAGCAGCTCTGTGCTGATGTGGCAATGAGTATTCCTTCCCGGAGTGGCAGTGGAGGGCGGGCAGGAGGGACAGATGACAGCAGTCGATGCTGACAACTCACATCTCACTGCTGGAGAACTGGGACACGGGTACATTTGCTTCTGGCCATGCTGCACCTGCTGTCAATCTCACAGTAATACTGAATGCTCTAATGGTGGGAGAGGAAATGGGCAGCCCTGTTTAGGTGGGGTCTGTATATGAAGGAGGCCCAGTTCTGCCTTAGTCCCAAGGCCAGGAAATTAAGCTAAGCTGTCATGAAACTGGACTCCATTATTCAATCAGTACTTCAGCCCAAATGGACTGAGCAGCTAGTTAGGGGCTGGGAAGCCACAGCACCTCTTCTTAACGTAGAATGCTTCTGCTGCAACTCTGTTCCTTCATTCCACTTGAATCTATGAATCACTTTGGAAACCACCTGACTCCCAAAATTAAGGCCACTGGACTCATGTGGGTCATACAAGAAGCAACTCCATGAGAAACAGGAGGAACAGAAAGCGGCCATAGCCAGGAAAGGAACAGAATGGGGAAGGAGGGAAACTCAACAAAGTGTACTTCAGGTAAAGAGACAAACTTAGCTGATGCTCAGAGAACTCCAGAGGGAAACTCCAGCATTTGGACCACATCAGAACTAAGAGACTGGCCCCATGCATCCTTACACCGTTCTCTATGAGTCAGGGACTTTCTGTGGGGAATACCGTACTCGCAGGCACTTCTCATTCTCTTTATTGGGCATGGGGTTCAAGCATCCTGTGGGAATTCTGGGAATGCCATTCCATAAATCCGGGCCATCAGCTATGATGCATACAGAAACTGGTGGATGAGTGTCTGTGAGACACCAGCCACTGCATGCTACCAACTTGGAGGTTATAACAGGATACTGAAAGGACAGAAGGTACCTGAAGCCTCGTACCGAGTGTTGTTTTTCAGACTAACAGCATGTAGTCCAATGGAAATCTGTTATTGCCTAAGTTGGTTTCTCTTACTATGATGAAACACTGGCTAATGCCATCTTGGGAAGGAAAGGATTACTTAGCTTTCAGGTTGAAGTAAGTCTACCATTAAGGGGACCCTGATTAGGACTCTAAGGCAGGGATGCAGACATAGGAACTGAAATGGGTATTGATTTGCTCACCTACATTTCTGACAGAGCCTAGGCCTACAGGCCTAGGGATAGCACTACTCCACGGTGTATTGGATCTTCTTACATCAATTAAGCATTAAGAAAATGCCCCACAGATATTCCCACATTTCACGCTGATGGAAACAATTCCTCCATTGAGGTTCCTTCTCCCCAGCTATGTCCAAGTTTGTATCAAGTTGTTAAAAACTGACAACTACCCAAGAAGCTATAGAATCTTATCTCTCATCAAAGACCCACTTATTTGTAATCTGCATATTAATGCTACCTTTAGCACTTGGGAGGCAGAGGCAGTCCAATCAGGAGTCCATTGCTAAACTTAGTAACACAGTAGGCTTGAAGCTGGCCTAGACTACACAGGACACTGTCTTAAATAAAGAAGTCATTGTGATCTTCATACAATTAGCCATTAAGAAACTTGCTAATAGGATGATAGAAATAATTTACTGATATTGGCAAGAATAAGTGTTCAAATCAGAGCTGCAAAATGATGAACTTGACAAGTTCATTGTTAAGGCTCTCTGGCCTAAAAGGTAAGATCAAGACACAGAGAACTCATTCCTAGTTGGAAACATGGTAGTGTTCATTTTCCTATGTGGTGATGCTATTTAGGTTTGCAAGTCCTATACTTGCAGACTCTGTTACTTCCTCTGGAACTGATAGATGTCAAGGTGAGGGGCGTCAGAAAGGTTTCAGGATAGCTATTTTTGGGCATGGAAATGGATATAAACCCAGCAAAGAACAAACATAAAAGCAACATTCAGAGATGATGCTTAAATTCATGCTTTCAAAGTCCTTTGAGAATTCAGAGGTAGGTCACCCAACTTAGATGCACATCACCTCTGATATCATGGCATAACTCAGGTAGGAGTGGAAGCCTCTAGGGTACATTACATTGGTCATGAGAAGTCTCCCAGCAGTACAGGATTCCTTCCATTAGTCATGATGTATTCAGTCAGCTAACGGGAATATCACTGTCTTGGGAAAGGCTGCTGTGGGGATTTGGAAACAGATAATTAAAGATGGCAGACTAAACATATTCAGTAAACCTTAGGAGTCTCCTAAAATTACTCAAGACAAGAGTTTTCTAACTGGCACCAATGTTGCCTCAAAGTTTCAGCTTAGAGAAAGGGAAATGGAAGAGAATGTAGCAACAACTCTTAGATAGTGAGGAATAAATTCATTGTAACAAGTGACAGCAAATTTATCAGTATCAGGAAAGTTGAGTCCTAGAAAGTAATTGAGTGTGGTTCGGGGAAGAAAGGCCCCGAAAACTAAAGAATTCTTACCAGTTACCTTTGGCATGGGGGATAAAACAGCAAAGACAGAAATATGAGCAATCCATTAATAAAGCAATTGGAATCTCTGCCCCACCTCACACACCACAGTCAGCATCCTGTCCCTGACATCCCAAGACAGGTAAGTGAAGGTTGATGTGGGGATAGAGTGAAAATGAGGGTAATTTTAATTGCTGTAAGCCAAAGGTGAGCATGCCAGAGACTCCACAGTGAAAAG